AAATGCGCAGAAAAATTTTCTTTTAAATGTCAGTCGATGCAAAAATGAACGCTGAACAAAACTAGATACTTGCTGACGTTCGAGTATCACGTAGTCAAGGTTTTCTAGGAGATTTCTCGAAAACCTTGCCACCAAAATACGCTAACTTTCGGATTTTGACCTATATCCTAGCTTTTTCGCTATTTTAGCGTTCATAGCACTTTGTAACGACCATCAATAGATAACTATAGACATATGTCTAGACAGACACCGGGGCTAGAGAGAGAGGGGGACAGACAGACAGACAGAGAAAAAGGAAAAAAGAGAGAAGAACAGACGGCACCTGCACTCACTCGCTAGTTCTCTTTCTCTGCACTAACGGACTAGTGTAGTTTCATTCCATTCTTATAAAAAAAATATAAGTTGTGTGGAAAAAATGACTGATTTACGTGAGAAAATTATTTTTGTGCCCGGCTTTTTCATGTATTTGTGCCCGATGCTACTGTTTAGTGCCCGGTCCGGGTACAAATAAATGTTTTCACATTTTTGTGCCCGGAAAAAGAAATGTGCCCGTCAATTGCACTGATTAGTGCCCGGTTTACGATTTTTAATTGAAATTTCAAGAAACAAGAGTTTTGTGCCCGGTTTGTTCGCGAGACTCTGTATTTAATGGATACTACCAAAAAAACCAATTACATATGTACAACATGATAATGTTAGCGACATAAAGCTGATGTTGCCTTTTTTGGACGTCTGCGTCGTTTACCTAAATCCTCTAGTTTTCCTGGATCCGATACTACATAAAAACCAAAATGCATCATAATTCCAACTGCATGTTTGCAAATATAAGTTTTCAAGTTGGTCTTGCATGAACACATCATAGGTATGGTGACCAATCTTCCAGCATACAACCATGATGAGAACTCATCAAATTGAGTCCAAGGCATTGTGTTATAAGCATGTAGCCAAGTACTAGATGTATATTGTTTACAATATGATGATGGAACAACATGGGTATGGCCGTACCAGTACAAAATCGAACTCTTATCCAGACCATTCTTCCATTTCCATGCGACTTTTTCTTGTTTAATACTGACAGAAGGACACGTACGAAAACCATTTAGAACCGATTTTTCGGACCATTCTAGTTCAGGTGTTGTTGCGTTACGATTTGAATGATTATGTGTATTTGATGTTGAAGCAATATACTCATTCTCATCTTTCATTAAACAACGGATTTGAAAATCACATTGAGGAAACTTTCGGCACTCTGAGCATCGATACGTAATTTTTTGACCTCCGTTTGTTTGTTCTGTACGTTTAATAGATATATTTTGATCATTTATATACGAATGGAAATCAGATCTGTTTAAAAATCTGTCTGCAAAGATCCACTGTCGCTTCGCCATAGTGTAGATGTTTATGTTGTTTTTTTCAGTTTTGAGCAGAGTATTATGAAGTATAATATAACCCACCATGTGCAGTGCAGTAGTTTACTACTGAATTTTACTTCAATCGAATTGTAAGCAAAAGTTCCTTATACAACATGGACATTTGTACGATTGAATCTACTTATATACATTGTTATCATTTTCACAAGACAGTCGTGATAAAATTATGGTACGTGAAAAATCGTTCAGTTTGCATTTTGAAAACGGGCATATACTTCGAATTACGATCAAGCCCTCAAGAAACATAGCTGTTTTAACTTCAAACGTTAAGCACTCGATGGCTAAACATTCAGCTAAACATTCAGTCAAAATCCGAAAGTTAGCGTATTTTGGTGGCAAGGTTTTCGAGAAATCTCCTAGAAAACCTTGACTACGTGATACTCGAACGTCAGCAAGTATCTAGTTTTGTTCAGCTGCAAATTCTAGTTCAGATTACTGCAAATTTAATTTACAACATTGGAAGACTTCTCAATTTATCACTATTGAGAGCATCCTTTTTTCTGTTCACTATTATATTTTATAAATAAAAGAAAACAACGAGCTGGCGCTACCTAGG